CTGAGGTTGCTCACAATTAATCTCGAGGTTGCTCTGCTAATTAGAGGTGAAGCCCGTGTCTTTTTAGTATCAGGACATCAAGAATATTTGCTGGTGGCCTTCAGTTTGTTGACCTCGTTATTATAAACTCCCCCCAAATTTTGTTCCTTCTCTAAGAAAAGCTCATTGTAGAAGAGAGGGGGGAAAAAAGAGGTCAAGTTTCCTATTAAATACACTCCAGCTTATGCAGAACAAATGAGAATAAGAGACTGCAGATGCGAAGGTGCCTGATAAAAATATACAAGAAAAGTTTCCAGGATTTTTATGATTCACAGGCAGAAGAGGAGGCAGAGAGCAGACCTGAGATAAAACCTGCTGATACTGCTGGGGCCACCATTAACCTGTGATATCTTTTGTCCTTACCCCACCACCCCCCAGGTCCTGCCAATCGTGGTTTTCTTCAGCACTGTGATGTCCATGGTCTACCACCTGGGACTGATGCAGTGGATCATTAGAAAGGTACTGGCACTGGGAGGGACGGCTGACAAGTGTTGAGCTGATACTTCAGGCACAAAGTCTTAAATGCTCTTTATCCAGGTACTTACAAAGTTCCTTTCTCTCACTACCAAGAGCCATTACCACCACCTAAGGTATTAGATTCAAACCAAAATATCCTACATGTGCCACAGAGACGATTTTATCTCAGGGACTTCTAACAGGACTTTTATTTGCAGCCCACCAGATATCTTCATGAAACCACAGCAGTTACTTCGCTACCCAAGGAACTGAGGNGCAGCCCACCAGATATCTTCATGAAACCACAGCAGTTACTTCGCTACCCAAGGAACTGAGGACAGAGGCCTGCGGGGAGAGCAGCCTGGTTCCCCTGCCTTGGTCATCCACCCTGTGCCTCACACAAAGTCACTGCTTATCTTCAGGAGGTTATGAAAGTAGACACTTCTGGTCTTGGAGCTGCTAGGGAATTCCAAGCAAGAAGGAGAAGCTGCTTCTCACTCCTGAAGGACTTCCATAAGCACACAAACTTAAAAAAAAAAAAAAGGCTGAAGAGTTCATCTCCTTCCTGTTCCCAGCAGCTGTGAGTCCTACACTCACGTTTGATCAGAAAACCAGGAAATCTGTAGGCTGGTTCAGAGGCACAGCAGGGCATCCAGGGCTTGGGGACAGCCACAACCCTCCTTTGGTCCCTGTAAATAAATCAAAATATATACAGAGAAAGAGAGAAAAGAGGGGACAGAGAGGGAGAACTGGAACACCAGCAGAATTCAGAATCCCAGACAGAGCTCCAGGGCCCATCATTTCTGATAATTGGTTCAAACGTTCATAATTACTGTGCTCATGTCTAAGCAGAAATAAAAGGGAGAGAACACAGCAGGAAGTCCC